GGGGGGGGGGGGGGCAGATTTATGCTTCCTGTGATTGTGGATCTTTTTCTGCCTCGGCCGGACCCCCCAACCCCCTCCCCCCACACACACACACACCTTTCCCCTCCCCCCATTAAGGGCTCTTTACATTTACTTTATCCCCCCCCCCCCGGAGCCACTGGGATCTGGTGCTTCCTGTCTCTTACCTGTTAGGATTTGTCTTCTTCCTGGGACCTGGAAGTGGGCCGGACTATTCTCTGGTTCCTCCGTCCATGTTTATGCCGTCTGAATTAACTCTTCCATCAGCTCCTCCACCTTTAAGTCCATCTGAGCATGTATATACGACAGATTTATAGAAATAAATCAGATTCTGGGGGGTTTTAATGCATTATTTCTGTCATTTCTGTCTTTTCCTAAAGAAAGTCTCCCTAAAACTTTCCTTTTTTGAGAAAGAATGGAGAAACACCAGCCTTTAACTCAGCTGTGGAGCAGTTTTTCTGCCTAAATGTAACTTTTAATGCGAAATATTACGCTCACATCGTACTTTTTTCTGTAACGGATCCACTTCTCCCTCTTTTCTCGGGTCAGAAAAGCCCAGAGTTGCCACACAGCAGCTCCATTTCACAGCTAAAACTAAATTCTTCCTCCTTTTTTTTGAAGAAAAACTGTAAATATGAGCTCTGTTTCTACCAGGCTGCTTTGATACTGTCAGATTTGTGAGAAAACACACTATTTATGCGTCCTGTTGCAGCTCCTGATCTGCTGACGCGGCAGGTTTCTGTCTCCGAGGGAAAATATCTGTGAGGCTTAAAGTGCTGGCAGCTGATTTAGGCTGATTTTGATGCTATTAAAAGCTGAAATCCTCCCTGAAACTGTCAAAAAAAACCTAAAGCTGAAGTGATGCTGTGAAATGAGGCGGAAATCTTTGTGGATCTGATCTGAATCGTGAGTTTGTGAGAGGGGGAAAGAGTCCCGAGTCCTCTTCCAGCTTTAATCCAATTCTTCAGGGAGGCTAAAGAAAGACGCCAAATGTGAGCTGATTTAATTTCAGCTCCAGAGTTTTACGCCACATCTTTTTGAAGAATTCCTCAGAACTTTTTAAAGCAGGAATGCTTTCGTAAAAGGAGATTAAACCGAATCAGACGGGGGACAAAACAGCCAGCCTTTTGTGTCGTTTTTCATTGAAATGATCAGAGAATTAGTCATTTAGGCTTCATTTTCTTCAATCTGCGGCTATTAAGTCATTAAATGTTGGCGTTTTTTAGGATCCCTGAACTGAACTTTAACCCCTCAGTCAAACATAAACTGTGCAAACCAAAGTTTGATCCATTATTAAAGCTTATAGCTTCGACCTGAAGGGCTCAGGTCCAGACAGATTCAGCCAATCGGAGCTCAGAAGCTACCAAAGACAACATAAAGGGACTCCACGACTCCCTATTTCACAACAACAAGCTGCGGATCCACCAGATAAACCGGAATAAAGCGGAGCTGACCCTTAAACGCTTAAACGCAGCCGATTTATAGAGAATAGATCAATTCAAAAGGTTCTTGAGGTCCTCACAGCAGGTCTGAACCAGGTCTTTGGGAGCAGGAAACATCTCCAACCTGCAGGAAAGCGCCCAGAAGAGGACCAAAGTTCAGCTTCTTCACTATAAACAGCAGCTAAAAGCAGCAGAATCCCCTTTAGGGTGCTTGTTGGCTTTTTATTTTGGGAAAAAACTGAATTATGTTGCAGGGATTTGTGCATCAAACCTGATTTTGTGTGGGTAACATCGATGGCTTTCTTCTCTACATTTGGCTCGAATCTGACCTCCGACGTCCTGAAAAACATAAAAAATATGAAGAATTTAGAAATCTCAAATTCTTGGCTGCTTTAGGGCTCCATGTTCCTTTAAAAATGACTAATGTAATACTTAAAGCTGCCTGAGATCAAATATCTTTGTTGGATTTGAATCGTCAAAGTCTTTTTAGGCTTTTTGAAAACACGCAGAACAAAATAAAATTTTAAACTAAATGTTCATCCTAAATCAAATGTAATCTTCTTATCTGCATATTTTTACTTTTAAATTAAATTTTTTAAAAAGGAAATTTTTCTAGACAACAGTTTTTTAAATAAAAGCTTCTTTTAGACATTTTTCTTAAATCAGTTTGGCGCTTTTTCTGGTCTTTTGCTCCACATTTTGAGTCTATTTTTTACCAGTTTGCTGCATTTTTTCCCAGTTTTGTCACATTTCTGCAGACTCAGCGGGACTTTGTGTCTTTCTGGGTGTGTTTTCTTTCTTTTAAAATAAAAAAAAATCGGTTTGGCCCTTTTTGTGGTCTTTTGCTCCACATTTTGGGTCCATTTTTGACCCATTTGGTGTATTTTTTCCAGCTTTGTGCCTTTTTTTTGTCTAAATTTCCGCAGCCTCAGCTGGACTTTGTGTGTTTCTGGGAGTCAGACCTGTCGTGGACTAACTGGACCTTTTAAACATAACAGGAGCATTTTTGTTGCAAATCTGAACTGTTTCAGCAGTCTGCTTGGTCGGCTTTTGTGAGAAAGTCCCATAGTTAGTGACCACAGCTCGTATTGAGCGTTTCTCTCCTGTTTTTAGTCTGTGAGAGCAGAAATTTGGTGAAACGTCGGCTGCTATCTTCGTTTGTGCTGAGCCACATCCTGTCAGCCAGTCGGATGACTTTGTGTAATTCCTCACTTTCCTCCTTTTGTTTTGTGTTTTGCTGCTTCCTGTTAACGTTTGCTGCTCTGGAAGAACCAGCTTTTCTCTCTGTGGCTCCTTCTGACCCAGACCCAGCAGCCTCCCCCCTGCTGAGGGGGGGGGGAAAGGGGGGAGACACTCCCACCTGGTGGTCACACAACGGTTAAACCTCACACACACAAGTTAAACCTCATAAAAGAAAAGAAAAAAGAAAAACGACCACAACAAAACCCGTGCGATAAAACTGTTTATTATAAAGAGAAATGCTTGGTGCTGTCGCCCTAAAATGATCCGTCTTCTTCAAGTTATGTTTTTTCTTTCAAAAATTGTACCACATGTTTCATCAGAATAAACAGAAAAAGCTCCGAAATAAAAGAATTGCTGTTAAAAAAAACAGCTAAAATAAAACAGTTTCCCTCAAAACCAACTCGTACCTGCAGACGGCACAAAGAACACAGATAAAATAACAAATGAAAACAAAAAACAAATGCTACATTTATCTTCTAGCCAGTTAAACGTCCAAAAAACTGAAAATTGCTTCTCTGAAATCTACATTTGGGCCTCTAAGAAGAGCCGAACGTCACTTTTTGTAGAAATACACAAGTCAGCTGTCCTTATTCAGACCTCAGAAGTAAATTTTAGTGGTTGGTGAAAAATGGCCTTGTTAAAGTGACAAGTGGCGCTTTAACTGGGCTTAAACTGTTGATTGTTACAGTTCAGACAGACCAAAAGCCACTAATTGGGGTTCCCTGCAGGTTTCAGGCTTTGTTTGGAGAATACTGTGTTCTAAATGAGAGAAACTGGTGAGATGAGAGCTGTGTGGTTCCTTTACGACACAAACTGTCCAAATTAATCAGCATGGAGAGAAAAAAACACCTCAAACTTTCTGCACTTCAAAATCAGGAGCACCTTTGTTTCATTCACAGCTAATTAAACGTTATAGGAGTCTAAAGTTGTCTTTGTTGCTGGCAATGAGTTTTATTTTTTACAATAAAAATCATAAAAAGCTACAAATTTGGCAACATGAGTATTAAACACTGGTAGTTTAAAATAAAGAAGGTTTAAGACTCATTCTTAAGAATGAGTCCCCCAAATCAAAAATCTAACCCTATTTATTAGCTTAAGAATAGGATTACTAAACTATTTTTCTATTCGATTAAACACAAACTTGAGGCTTTTGTGTTGCGATTAACCAATAAAAAGGCTGAAATGATGAGTTCTAGCCTCAAATATTAAGCAGCTTAAATGGAAATCATTCGGAAAGAATATCTAAATGCTACAAAAAGGCTTTAAAAAAATACTTATCCCAAAGAAAAAAAAGTTAATAAAATAAAGGAATGAAGGAAAATGAAGGTAAAGGCAGATATTTGTGATATAAAAT